ATGTTAACCCTTTTTTTTTTTTTTTTTTTTTTGGTTTGGTTTTGGTTTGGTTTTGGTGGAGGGAAGGGAAGGGGTGGAGGGAGGGAAGGGGTGTGCTTGTCGGGGAAGAAAGGGAGCGGAGGGATAGGCTTGTCGGGGAAGGGGGGATGGATGGAGAAGGGGTTTGGATTAGGGTAGGGCTGAGGTTGGGGTTTCCTGGTTTCTGGGAATGATGTGGCATCCTTTTTTTTTTAAGGGGTTTTTTTTTTTGGAAGGGAAGAGAAGGGGAGGAGGATGGGATGGGATTGGATTTGATTGGATTGGATTGGATTTGTGTTATTTGGAGGTGTGGATGTGGATGTATGTAAATATGCATGTAAATACTGTTTGTAAATGTGCATGTAAATACTGTTTGTAAATGTGCATGTAAATCGGCACTTGAATACCTCCATGGGAATGAATATGTATGCACACAGTAGCATATGAAAAATACTTCGTAGGTAGGTAAGAGGTGCGTCTGCTAGGCTGGAAGGGAGCTCTAGCTACATGTCTCTTTGCTTGCTTGCATGCATACATACCCATTCTGTATATTTATTATACCTACATATATACCTTCATACATACATAGTACATGTATACCTACATAAGCGAGCCGTCGCCAAACACGGAAGAAAGATAGCGCTAGAACAACAATCCGTACAGCAGCAGCCGAGATCAATCACCGAAAGGAGGAAAACGAAAAGTAGCATCTCGCTCCTCTTCTGTTTTCCTTCCCCCCCCCCTATCTTTCCGATGGCTCTCGGTCCCATGAACACACACACACATGCACACACAGACAGACAATCTCTTCCATTTCCAGATTCCCGACCGAACTCGGGCGACTCGGGCCACGGTTGACAGACCGTAACGGCTCCCTCCGTCTTCCTTCTCGCTCGTGAAAGCTAGATAGCTACCGTACCTACCTCCCTAGCTAGATATGACGAATACAGTTACGGAGCATGTGCCGCAGGCGAGCTTGGTTTTCTTCTTTTTGTCTTTCTTTCTTTTTTTATAGTTTTCTTTCTTTTCTTTTTTGGTTTTTGAGAGGCAGGGTTTGGTTACCCGAGGTACGAACGATGGCGTACGTACGTATACCAGGCTTTTCCTTCCTCTTTGATCTGTTGTCTTTTGTCAATGTTTTTTTTATCTTTTTTTTTTTTTTTTTTTACTTAAATTTTTTTTTCTTTTTATCTTTTTTCTTTTTCCCGTATCGTTTAGATTAATTGATAGGGTGGATAGGGGTTGATTAATTGATTGACTGTATCGATTGATCGATCGATTGATTGATAGATTGATCGATTGATAGATTGATCGATTGATAGATTGATCGATTGATAGATTGATCGATTGATAGATTGATCGATTGATAGATTGACAGATTGATAGATTGATGTGTGTGATTTAGCTTGTGCGAACGGACAGGTAGATACGGAGTAGATCGCGCGCGCGCGCGAGAGAGAGAGGGCAAGTAGAATCGAGGGCGATTATCACGATTCAGTCATCAATCAACCATTACATTCCCACCTCGATTTCAATTCCGCCTTGGTCTTTGTCTCCGAGTTAGATTTTTTTTATGTATTTCTTTTTATTTCTTTTCCTTTCTTTTTTTTTCTTTTTGGTTTGCACATCAATCTTTTCCGCCCCTTGGATGTTCGTGCGCTGCGGAGCTCTTGTTTTTCGTGGGCCGGCCCTGCCTCGCCTTGCCGGGACAACGCTCACCGCTGCTGTCAGTGCTGTGAGAGAATTGAATTGAATGGAAAATTGGTGGGGCAACCAGAGACCAACAACAACGACTTGCTTGAATGAGTGAGTTACGAGGGCGGGGAACGCCGATTTGTCATACAACTGGTTGTATGATGGGGATGGACGAGGTGTGTTTGAAGGGAGAGACGGAGGGATAGGGATGCGGATAGGGATAGGGATACGGATAGGGATTGGGATTGGGACACGGGGAGATGAGCGAGGGTTTGAGAGGATGCAAAGTACTACTACTACGTGTGCGGGAGATTCTGATTGAGGTTATTGTGAGAAAACTCCTTGCTTCATTCATTTGGTGCTGATTGGATTATTGATTGTTGCACATCGATGCAGCGGCCGGCGCTTAGGAGGCACGATACGGTACGACGGTACCCGACTATAGGTAGTCGGCCAGGATTTCGAGGTCAGTAGAGCAGTACCCTGCGCATTTTAGCCGAGGCGGCGTTTTAGTTGGTTGCCATACGGAGTAGGAGAAGTTGTCGAAGTTGTAGTACTACTAGTCGTAAGTAGAAGTATTAGGAGTAGGTAGTAGTAGGTAGTAGTAGCTGTAGTTACAACTATTTCTAGGTCGGAAGAGACAGATAGACAGTCAGACATCCCCTACCCTTGTTTCTCGGCCAAGGTACCAGGGACCAGGCACGAAGACTAAGATCAACAAAGGACCAAGGCGGCGGCGGTAAATGCTGGCTGGCTGGGCTGGCTCAACCCTAAATCCTCGCATGCAGAGGAGAGCTTCGTGTGACTGGACAATTGATAAGAGCTAACTCCCTCATATGGCAGGTGGGATATGTATGTGGGTGGAGAGAATCGATCGGGATTGGCTGCTGGTATGGTGGCTATAGCTGAGGAATGCATGCTATGCAACATGTAAGGCCAGGCGAGGAGGCAAGGTAATCAATGCAAGACAATAGGAAAAGGCTGCAGGACAAGGGAAAGCTAGGTAATGCAAGGCAAAGGCAATGCAAGGTAATGCAAGGCTGCTGGGCTACAGAAGCCTTGAAGCAGATTTGCGAGACAGACGGACGCGTTTGTCAATATTGACATTGATCGTGAGGCGTTTTCGCGTCACGTCGTCGCCAGGAGAGCGACAGCCGGAGGCCAGGTTTCAGATGGCTCCCTTTCTTCCCATCCCTTTGCCTTCCCCCCGATTGTTTTCCTCTTTCATTGTTTTCTTTTTCTCTATCTTCTCTCCCTTGCTTGGAACAAGCCCTTGGCTAGGTCCTGCTTACGTACTTGTCAAATACTATTTGTTATAGTTATACAACTACGACCACGGCGACAGATATAGCAGAGTTGTGAATTGGTGGTGGGGTTGTTAAGTCACTGACGACATGTAGAGGGAAGGGGCCACTTCACTCTATTTACTCTTCCACCACCTACTATATCCGTGTTTTGTTTACGGAGAGCCGGAGCGCAGGAAGCAGGGTGCAGACCGTGTCCGATGCGCTCGAGTCGGGGAGAGACAGAGGAGTCTTTGCTGGTAAGACATTGCAAGGGGAGCCTAGAAGTGAAATCCTCCGATGTCAGGCCAAGTCAGGCTAGGCTGGGGTCGGGTTGGCGCGTGTGCAGTAGGTTTCTGCTTTTGCTTTTGCCCAAGAGATGAATGATGATAACGATGATCTGGATATGAATAGGAGGATAGATATGCCTATATGAGAGAAAGATAATAAGACCGAGATGAGATCTGACAACAAGTCAGACAAGGAAGAGAAAGGATCAATGGCTATTGAGCTGTCTAGAGCCAGGCACCAGAAGCTAAAGATAGGTACATAGACACATGGCACTCACGGGAGATTATACTACGTTAGCTACGGAGTACGGAATGTTGAGAGCTGTGAAAGCTAGAGAAAAACAAGCGCTCGGACAATGCCCGATGGATGGAAAGCTACGGTACAGTAGTGAGTGAGTTAGTAGTTGTACTACTGTACTAGTGGTAGTTATTTTTATTCCCGTCGATCCAAGAGGCGGCGTGTGGTACGTACGGGAAGATGGTTCCTCTAGCATTGCCGGGACGATGCAAAGGTAGTGGTACTTCTAGAAGTATACTCCGCCTGTACAGCTGAGCTAGACTCCACCCAAAGTAAAACAGAAGCTAGTCGTAGGGTAGCTGCAGGACCCAAACTCAGCTGATGCCTGCTTATGCCTGCAGATGTACTACTAGTAGTAGTAGTACCTCTATCGTAGGTAGTAGTAGCTGTACTATAGCCGCAGTAGTTGCACTTACGACTACTAAGGAGTAGATGCAGATGTAGTCGTAGATGCGGGTGCGGGTGCGGGATGCAGAGCCGTTGCCGGGACGATTGTCGACGGATTGGGATTTTAGCTGTAGTTGTCGTTGTACTAGTAGTTGTGGGCAGTAGTTGTCGTCGTAGTGGGAGAGCCCGGCTTTAGAAAATCTCAACCTCACCTTTCATCCTCGACTCCGACCCCGACCGGGCTTGGGGCCAACCATCACAAACCCTCGATCCAGGATTAATACAACTCAAAGCAGGATTGGGATCCATGCATTTTTCTTTGCTTCTGCTACTGCTACTTACGGAGCCAGCGACTGCTACTGTTACTGCTACTGCTAGCTATCGCTACTACTGCTAGCTATTGCTACTATTACCACTCTACGGTAGGTACTGTACTTGACCATTTCTTTTACTCCGTCCGTACTACACGTACTACGACTACTACTACTACTACTACTACTACTACTACTACTACTACTACTACTACTACTACTACACGTTCCACTCCACTCCACTCCACTCCACTACGCATTCACTACCCACGTCCTCCCCACTTCTACCCACCCACGATCCACCATCCTCCCCCCCCCCCTTCCATCTAACCCACCCCGACCCGTGGACCAGACGACCCGGCCGGACGACCAGCGTCGTTGCTGTGCCTTTCGTTGCCGTGCGGCTGCTGGCCTGCTTCCATTTATCATCTGGACATCTCCCGCTTCGTACCACCCCACGATTCACGACCCACGACCACCTCCTCCTTCTACCTCCACCTCCACCTCCACCTCCACCTCCGCCTCCGCCTCCACCTCCTCCTCCACCTCCTCATCACCACATCCTCATCCTCATCCGCCCTCCGCCCTCCGACCGTCCCCGTCCCCGTCCCCTTCCCCCTCCGCCCCGACTCGTTCGTGGAAGCCAGCAGCCTCGTTCGAAAAGGCCTTCTCCCCCCCCCGCCCTCCGAATGTCCATCCTACCTCCAACTCGACCCCGGCCACTCTAACCAGCAGCCAGGAACGAGAAAAGAGAACGAGAAGACGGAACGAGAACGAGAACGAGAACAGCGAGGAAAGGATAGCAGGAGAAGATCTGCGGAAGACCGACCTGGCCAGATCCTCATACCACACCACACCTACGCTTTCGACGCCGACATACCAGCCACGACGGTCCAGCCGACGCCTCGATGTCCAGGACATTCCTGTAACGCCTCCACGGAAAGCTCCTCTGCATATCCGACGCTCCCTCCGCTATTCTCCCAGTTGCATATCTCCCCGAGCGATTGGATCACCTCTCCAGTCCCTCGTGCGGATTGTGATACTGCGTGCCGTCCTTTACCACCAACATACAATTGCCATTTACTCGCGAGACGTGTCCGGCAACAGAACGCTCATTGCATAATACAACTGCGCAGTAGGAGGACCGCTTGATTAACCCACACACCCATCACTATGGAGGCCTCATCACCGTTAGCTGCCATTCGGCAGAGCTCTTTCATGCCATCTTGGGGCATGGGCGGCGACCTGTACACATCCCACCCCCACGCACACCTATCTAATAGCGGATTTGGCCCGGGGGCCTTCAACTTCCGTGATCTCAGCATGAAGCGGTCGAGCAGCTCCTACTCGGGCAAGTCAGACTACTTCCAGATCAAGCCTGTTCGTGGATCGTCCCCCACAGCCAGTCTGGCGGCAGACCTATCCCAGAACTTTCACATCGACATGAGGTACGTTGCTCTACGTCCGAGTCAAGTCGACTCAACGCGGCTAATACGACCCAGTCCTCAACTACCGACCCCCCGCAGATCCCTCTTTACATCTAATCTTTTTGGTACCATTGATGGACGGGGTGAGAAGGACCCACGCATACGAGGACGATGATCAGCATGTTAACAATACCTAGAAAGTGTCACGACTCCTCCCCTGCCCTCGTCTTCCCCGGCGGGACTCAACGAAAGAATGGACATCTCGCCCTTGCCGCACAAGCAGCCATACTTCGCCCAGATTGACATGCGATCACCGACTCCAGGCCACACCAACGAAGTTATGCTGGCTTCCTCGCCTCCCCGTCCAGAGTTCTTGAACGCCCCGAGACCAACCGCACTTGAGTACGGGACCTGCACGCCTCCAACGTGGATAGAGGATGAATGCTGATCGTGCTGTAGGCGAAAGAAGTCTCTCCTTGTTCGACCCTCCCTGATCAGAGCAAAAGGCCACTCGACAGGCTGCGTCCCTCGCAAACCTGAGAGCCACCTGCCCCCCTTCCGCTTTGGTGCTGGAAGCAGCAAGTTGTCGACCTCGACTTCAATGTCCCTCGGAGAGTGCTTTATGGAATCTCCCCCGCAAGAACGAAGACCACAGTCGGCTAACACTCCTTCGGTATCGAACATGGGACCTCCTCGTTTGAGCAAACCTTTCGGCAGCATGAATGGGCTTTCGATTCGAAACGGCTCCCCTATCGGCAATCACTCTAGAAGACCTTCCAACCCGTTAATTCGGCCGAGGAAGCAATTCCGTCGATCGTTGAGCATGTTTGAGCACCCAGGAGATGTGATGAAGGCCAAGAAGGATGAGCTTCCCTCGAGCAACCTGCACACCGTGATGGATGTCGACGAGCTGCATCAACCGGCTTTGCCACATTTCTTTCAAGAGGGTCAGCCAGATAGCATTCCTCGGATCACCAAGGAGACGCTGCTGGAGGTCTTGGATGGGAGCTTCGACAGCAGCTTCGATCAACGTATGATCGTGGACTGCCGCTTCGAGTACGAGTTCGAGGGGGGACACATTGACGGTGCGGTCAACTACAACGATAAGGAACTCCTTACCAGCCAGCTTTTCGAGCAAGCCCTCCCGGGCAAAACTTTACTTATCTTCCACTGCGAGTACTCTGCTCACCGAGCTCCCATCATGGCGCGTCACGTGAGGAAACAGGATCGCTCTACTAATGCCGAACACTACCCCAAACTCACCTACCCTGAAGTGTACATCCTTGATGGTGGATACAGTACTTTTTTTTCATCACACGCAAGCCGATGCTTCCCGCAGAACTACGTGGAGATGGACGCCAAGGAGCACGCGTACACCTGCGAGCGGGAAATGGGCAGACTGCGCCAGAACAGAACCAAGTTGGGACGAGCACAGACATTTGCTTTTGGACAACAGATAGACGACAGCCCGACTGCTCCGAATCGATCCCGGAACAACGCCGGTGGAGACCTGACCATGTCAGGAATGAGTTCATCCCCGAGTATGTTTGACTCTCCCTGCATGCTGAGCCACGATCGGAGCCATTCGCGACGCATGGTATCATACTAATATTTGCACTGGCTCGGCGTTTTGGGACTTTTCGGCGTTGGGATTTGACATCTACGGCACGGTCGGCCCTGCCAACCTTTCTTCGACACTCGTCCTTGGAATCATGACGAGCTTGTCCCCGGTGGTCTCCTCTTAGAAAGACGGATCCCGGGATTTTACTCTTACTATTTGCTCCCCGGCGTATTGGCGTGCATCTTGCGTTGGCATCCTTTTTGAGTTAGCTTTGATACCATCTGGGTCTGCCCGTCGTAGGCAGGAGGGCACCCCAATCGATGGATTACCTACCGAAGCCATTTTTCACCCTTCTTGGATCAGGAATCCTGGACCGACACTCGTTTGCACGGCAGATGCCTACCAAGACAACATACGAAACCACACCCAAATAACACACGATCGCACACGAGAAATATCACCTCACGATCACCGACCTCGGACGCTCAGTCCGAATACAACCCTTTTTTTCCTATTTCATGTCCTGTCTAGTTGTTTCCGACGCCGACACTGGCTGCTTCCTCCATCAACTTCTCTTTATCGAATCGATCCCCTCTACTCGTACAAATCTCGCTCCGTCTCTGTTTCCTGGGCGTGATCATATCAATTCCCGCTCGCACACTCGCACCCGACACCGATTTCAATACCCTGGATTCACAATTTGCAATTCCCTTGGAACAAAATTTGAACTTTGCCCCTGCCATCCGCTGGCGCATACTGTTTTGGCTTGCTGCGTACTTTTGCTTTGCTGCTACCTACTCTGGATTCGTTGTCGACGGTGGTGGATGGTGAAGCGAGGGAGATACAAAATTGCATAGCGTGGTTCTCGGATTCGATCCTTCTTCTATTATCTTTTCTGGCAGGGTTTGGGTCTGTCCAGTCTTTGTGCGATTATACGTGTGAGGGGTTTAGGTGATGACTGATCGGCTTGGCTTGGCTCTATTATAGATGCGGTCTTGTAGATGTGTCATGCTGACTTTGCTTGCTGCTTGCTGAGGGCAAATGGGCATGGAGGGAGAGATTCTAGAGATACCAGAGAGAGAGAGAGAGTGAGAGAGTGAGTTTGGCTCAGTAAGCTGTTGACATAGAAACAAATAAACACATTTCCACATTTCTCCTCCTGGTCTTTTAAACGTACGTATTTATTTAGTGCAAGCGAAGTTGCAGAAACAATTGCGGGAATTTTTACTACCATCTAAGGGGGGTGGAGGGTGGAGGGTGGAGGGTAGAGGTTGGGTGAGGTGAGGTGAGGCTGGGTTTGTTTGGACATTGCTGTTGTTGTTGTTGTTCTTGTGGGTTGTTTCTTTGTGGTATGTGTGTGTGTGGGTGTGTATGTGTATGTATATGTGTATATATATGTATATGTATATAGGTATGTATCTATCGTTCTTACGTTCTCCGTGTTCGGAGACGAGATCGGATCGGATCGGACAAGGACTGTAATGGCCTGAGGCTGCCAGGCCTGTTAGGAGCACGTGCACGCTAAAGGAGTACATAGATTTCTCCTACCAAGGAGAACTTGGAAATATCATCCTTTCCACACAACCAGTAGAGGAAAAAAAAAAAAAGGCAAAACTCAACTAGGAGCCCACAGTAAGTAACCGCCGTTCGTTCACCTGGTGTTCCAGTTTGCAACTCTGTAAACGTAAGTGAATAAGGTTGGTTTTTCGAGGGAAAAACTCAACTGCGAGCTCTCCGTGCCCTTCACCCACTTTAAGGATCCAGCTTACAAATAAACACTAACTGAACAGGTTTGGTTTTTTTTTTTGTACCTGCTCAGCTCCTCTCCACTTTTCGTAGATATAGTCTGGCTGGCTTATGGTGGCAGGTATCAATCGGCGAGGCTGTCAAGATGCGTCCTCACAGTTAGTTAAGCGTGAGCTTAAGTGAGCTATTGAGCCATCATGACATTCTACCGATTGATACCTCTGTAAATGGAAGGAGGCCATTTCTAGGTATGTAAAGTAGGTAAATTATTGTTCGGCTGATAAGCGAGAAGCGAGAAGCGAGGAAGCCCCTATCTGCTCTTGCTTTCGTAAGTAAGTGAGCAAGTAAGTGCCGCTATATCATCCATTTATTTGATGTGAACTACCATTTATTTATTTTTTTTTTTTTTTTTAAACATTCCCAAGTACAGATAGATACACATTCTCGCGCTTCCCTCAAGGTTTCAAATACTCGACTCCACCTTCTTACATTCAGACACCTACCTACCTCTCTTGACGCCACTCCTCAATTCGATTCACATTCCGCATTTCAACTTTCCCCGCGAGATTTTCATTCATTCAACTACTAACCAACCAGCCAAACTAGAAGAAGCTGCTCGATCAAGACCAAACCAAACCCTACAACCCACCACACCCATCCAACCCCCCACCTCTCATCACATCTCATCTCATCTCACCTCATCACATCTCACCACCATACGCACCCACCTCACCTTCCTTATCCTCCTCCCGCGGTATCCACAAAACGAACCGATTACAGCCCCTTCCCCTCTCCCTCCGACACCACCAGCACGCTGTCCTGCATTGTAAAAGGGACCAACAAGACGGCGTGTATACTTATACTTGCTCTACGTGGCTTAGCTTAGACGACAATGGCATGGGCGGAGAGAAGTCTACGGCGATCGGAGGAGGCGTCGCGACGGCGGAATAGTCGGCGTGGTGTCGGCGTGGTGCGTACTGTAAGATCCACGGGGGATTGGATCTGCCTGTGGAGAAAAGATCCGCCGCGAGGGAGTACAAGTCGATGGTGGCGTTGCGGAGGGCTGAAGTGAAGGATGCGGGGGGTGAGGGGGTTGTTGATATAAGGATTAGGTTTGAGTGGGGAGGAGTGAAGCGGAGAGGAGAGGGGAGGGGAGGAGAGGGGAGGAAATTCCAAAAATGCGATTCCTATGCCCTGAAACATGCCATGGCGGATTTTCGGGGAGTTGTACTTCTGAGAGCGAGATCTGCATCGTTTGCTACCATACACGGCTTAGCTATACAGTCTCTAGACATAGGAGAGTGAAAGAGTATAACCCATCCTAGTACGGGTACCGGTGTATGATTTTAGTCTAGACCAAGAGTAAAGAATTCGTAACCGCCAGCTCTCTCCGCAAACCAATGCTCCCCTCCTACAGTACATATACATATGATTATAATCTGAAGGTGCTGATCATGTACTCGATGCTCTCGCTGCGGGTCGCGTCATCCTCACATAACTCGTAACGTTGGCACCAAAGACGAAGGTCTTCGATGACTCGTTGCTGTATACCGGCCACTCGGTTCCAACTCCGTCGACTTGATGTACGAAGTTAGCGAAAGAGGCAACAAACTGCCGTTGAATGCGTGAGCGTATCACTCCCGTTCCGGTTCGGGTTCCCCGTGGCGACGAAAGCGGCCCAGGTAGTAGACATCGTGTAAGCGAGATCGGGGTACGATTGAGGTCTGTTCGTCCACGGGCTCACATCATAGTCCCAGCCTTTCAGGTCGTTGAAGACGGAGACGATCTCCTTGGCGTGGGTGGCACCAATGTGACGGGGTATTCCGTTGGGGATCACGTTCCAGCGGTATTGGTAGGCTCTACAACGTGAGATATGGTTGGTTAGCCTTCGCCAACCATTTTCGGAGCCTGAAGAGGAGGAAGACTCACGGGACACCGTTCGCAGCTCAGATCTGAGCCGTGTAACGCGTGCTGGCAATGATTGTATAGTCTCCAGCCAAGGTGCACGCCCGCTTGTACTGGTACCCCACCTCAGGTCCTAGGTTATTCGGATACGTAGCAAGAATCTGGTCGGTAGCGTTTTGCGAGTAAAGATCGAGGAGCTTTGGAACCGTGGTTGAGTTGGCACCAAGCAATGTGATGTAGTTCAGGAACTCGTTATCAGTGTTTATCTGCACTGTAGGATATAATGTGTTGTGGTCGAGATTAGCCCCTGGTATAAAATCTGACCCATCGTCTGTATTTGATCCCAGTAGGTATGGCACTTTGACAAAGTCGCCTCGCTCCAGCTGCCTAATGGGGAGGTCCACAACGAAATTATTGTCCAGAGCTGTGATGGATATGATCAGTCTTTATTCGAGATTTTTTTGGGACTTGTGGGTGGGTTAGCTCACCTTGTCTCCATATTGCTCTAGCTGTTGCGGTGGAGTTCACTAAGTCGCCGAGAATATCAAGGGGAACATTCCTCAAACAGTCGAGTGTATTTGTTGCGTTTTCATAGCTAGCACTGGTGGTGAGTTTGGCATAAATCTCGTCCTAGACATCATCGGAGAGGACTAAAAGTCAGAATACTATTAGCACAAGAATTATGACGGGGAGGCATTTGTACATTGTGATTAAGGCGAAAATCCCACGGGCGAGCCCGATAGAGAAATGGGTCCACGAAAAAGACCATCATTCCGGCCATTGTACGCAAGGAGGTGAGCGCCAACAGAGCCTGCACCATTGAACAGAATTTAGCGATATGAAGATAACCGAGAACGGGATACGTGCGCGCTGTTTCTAAAAATTGTCACCTTTTCTAGGTCGCCACCAAATGCAGCAATGTTTTTTATTTATAAAGTTAGGTAGGATACTTTAAGGAGGCAAAAATTTGGGACTGTCTACCCTGAACCCATCGGAGTGCCAGTCTCTGGTTTCTGAGCCAGAGGGTCAGAGCTCCTGCTTTAAACAGTTCGGATCCACCAAGGAAGCCAAAAGCAGACAAACGGTAGTTGAAATTGACTGCGAGGATGGGGGCATTGATGGAGATGGAGTCTTGGATCAAGTAAGATGAATTCAGGCGAGGATCACCACTGCCACCCATTATGAAACCTTCGCCGTAGATGTAGACAGCGACAGGTAGGAGCTGATCAGTATAGTTGGAAGGTCGGATGACGTTGATTGTCAAACAATCCTCAGATACGGGCAGTCCACATGCAATTGGTCTGTCTGCGTCGCCCTGCACCAGAGTCAGCCAACGGATCAGAGATACATCTCAAGGCATACCTACACTAGTGCCCCAACATGTATCACCAAATTCTGTTGCATCTCGCGTACCGTTCCAACTCGTATTCAAGGAAACTTGGGGGGTGAAAATCGGAGAGGGCCTTGAACAGGGGGGTATGCGAAAGGCATTCCCAGGAAGAAGTCTTGGTTGTAAGAGGAGGAATGAACGCCTGCGTATGTGCCATTGAGCACAGTGATTAGTGGTACATCCTGCGATACCTTTGTGGAGATGGCGATTCCTAAAAGCAGAGCATTGCACAAAAAAAAGCTATGAAAATGATCACGTTTCTGTATAGATGTCAAAGGGCTGATGGATGAAGTAAAATCAAACCAAATCAGTTCGCTCTTGTACTTGTTGTACTTTGCAAAGTGGCAGAAGCTATGTGATGACTGTAAGCTAAATTTTCAACCGGGCAGGACCATCAGCTAGGATCCACGTCACCGTTGTGGTGCTCTTCCGCTCATGGCGCTGGAAATCACGCTTCGGAATGGGACATTCTCGGATTTTATATCGAGCCACGGCCAGGTTAGTGGTTCCTGATACGATGGCAAAAAGCAATGCAAGGTGACGAAACGAAGCTCACAGTTCCTGTCCCAGCCTTCAGCGACGCGAGAAGCAGCACAGTACTACCGTATAGTATCGCTATTCCGTACCCGGGATAACTAGTACCATGCAAGCCTTGAGATATCCACTCCTGGTAGTTTTCAAAATGGATATACTCCGTACAGAGTATAAAGCTTGGAGCCAGAAGCAGAGGAAGAATGCTAATTCGCCGAAGTCCTTGTCGGTGGAGAGACCCATGTTTACACATCCCGGAAAACCTTCCAGTAAGCATCCGCGGGCAAAGTGCCGGTGCTGATCATTTAGCCAGCGTCGAGAAAGCAAAGATGAGGAATAAGCTGGGCTCAGATGCCTAGCCACATATCGTGTGAATGGAAAGAAACAGCATTCGTTATAGAGTCGCAAATTTCGGACAAGGTTCACGGTGGAAAACTATAGTACCTCCAGGATATCCTTTTCGGGGTTGGGTCTATATCATTGCATTTGGGGGCTGCCATTATGGTTTTAGTGATCCGCATCGTTTCCGTTAATGGACTGTTAATCTCTGAGAGAAAATGTGGTTGCGGAAGGTAGATGCTTTTGCGATTGCTAGTAGCGGGCCATATGTGTATTTCTGATGTTACCGCTGGTAAAGGAGACTTGCGAGCGACGCAAATCACGAATTATTACCAAAGAGCAATGGCTTGAAGCGGAAATATTGTACTTAGGTTGGTCAGAAAGATCGACCTAGGCACAATCCAACTGTTAATCGGTATCAGAAAAAGTAAGAGGCTAAGCCCGAGATCTCGGGTCGGAGTCCACTGCCAGTCTCCTGGGTCCGAATAAGAGGAATCTCGACCGCGCCTCGGGCCGGACTGCAGCACATTGGCGTAGGTTTTGGAAAGATGCAACCCGGGTCCATGCCAGGCCGGTTCTCGACAGAACCAGGTACACAGGAGCGCGATGCGCTGCGCTGCACTGCTACATTGACGAGCAATCCAAGCCACGACGGGAAGAGATTGCATAGCAGTTCGAGAAGGGCTAGAATACAATCGCCTCAGATGAAGTAAGTATTGACTTAGAGCTGATAAAAGATGGGAGAGGAGAAAAGCGGATGCGGCAAAGTAGTATTTAAATATCGACGAAAAAGCGTTTGATTTAAGCAGAGGAAGGTTTATCTCAAGATAATAGCGAACATGAGATAAGATGCAAGAAAATTGCCAAAGGTAAACATCATCAGCATTGCCACGGCCAGCATGCAAAGAGATACTTCATCATGGACAGGAGCAAATGAAAAGGGGCCACGGAGATGGAGAATCAGGCCAAGAGCAAAGAGGTACAATCGCTTTGAAAAGTCAGAACATTCGCGTAAACATGCCCAGCAAAAGCAGTAAAGATAGAAAGGTGTGTAAACGGTTGAAGCTGATATCCAACCGTGATGGTCACTGGGAAGAAGGTTTCCAGCCCGGAAATGCATTTTGTCAGCCAGCCAGCCCCACCAAGCAACCAACGGCTTGGCCGGGAAAACGCGTCGGCGCGACTTGTAGAACCCCTCCACAAAGCCCTTTGGCCTTTGGGAAACCCACCCCTTTCGAAGGTCCTCAGCAGTCTACATCATGGACATCTCCGATATCCTTCACGACCTGAACGCAAACCATCATACCTACGAGGCCCCTTTTGCGGACGGCGACGACGAGTTCGGCCGGGGCAATGGCAACGGCAATGGCAGTGGCAGTGGCAAACCCTCCGGACAGGCAGATCTCCAAGCCCTCACACGAGCTTGGATCAACGAACGGGGGGCAGCTGAACTCCTTCCGTACGCCTCATTCCTACTCCCACGCCGTCGACGTCTTTCCTGGCTCAGCTAACAAACATCTCCAGCTGGCCCCGAGACGGCCTCATCGACCGCGCAACCAACCGCATCAAACAGCAGATCGAACTCGTCGAGCAAATGACGGGTGACATGAACCCCAAGACCAACTTCAGCCTCATCATAATCCAAACCGAAGTCGAGCGCTGGAAATTCCTCATCCGCTCCTTCCTACGCGCCCGCATCGCCAAAATTGACAAATACACCCTCTACTATCTGTCCCCGGAGCACTCCGACCGCTTGAGCGAGACGGAAATGGCGTATGCGACGAGACATCAGCAGTTATTGCACGGGCACTACTTGAGCAGTTTCCTCAGCAGCTTCCCCCCGAATCTGCAGAATTTAAATGATACGGCGGGAGGCATAAATATGATTGGGGGGCCGGATGTGGATGAGGGCGTGTTTGTGAGGGGATTGGGATCCAGAGATGTTGGGGGTGATGGGACCGTTGCTGTTCATGGGAAGGGGAGGGACGGGGATGGGGAGGTCGAGGTGGAGAGGGGTGAAGTCGTTATTGCCAGATGGTCGGATGTGAAGGACTTGGTGGAGAAGGGGGAGATGGAGTTGGTTTGAGTGTGTTCTGGCTACGAACCCAACCCAGCCCATCCCTCGCACCCCTCCTGCGATCCGAGTCTGCGATGCATACAGCAGTTTCCACGCCCAGCAATGACTCAACCTGACCGGGTCCTCGCGCGGCATGGTGGTACGCCCTTTGAGGTACTACTTTGTTACAAGCAGTCCACGCCGCAGCAGGTCAACTCCACAGTGCTCGAGACCCCTCTGCGGCTCATTCGAATGCTTCTATTGTGTCTGAATAATGCTGATCAAGCCCGAGACACAAGGCACCCATCCTCTCTTAACCTTCAAGGTGGTCCACTAAGAGAGCATTTGCGCCTATTTAGATGGCTTTGACTAGGGAAGCCAGCTTCACCACCAGGCCGACGGCGGCATGGAAATGGAGTTTCATCATCCACCTTGCCAATATCGGCTATGGGATCTTTGAAGGTGTATACATTCAAGAGCGCGTGGTGTGGCTGTTGTTGATTTTCAATAGGCACCATGACATTGCTAAGGGCGGAGCCGGGTTGGACGATGCGCGGATGATTGACACAAGTCAAAGGTCATAGAATTGGCAGCTAAACACAGACCCCGTCAGTATTATCGGTCGGGCACGCAGGCTGAAGTCGCTCCATGGCTATTCCGCTCAGTGTCTTTCCGAATGGGAATGCTTAATCGTAGTTGTACGTAATATATAGATTCCTAACACCCTTACATCCTGTCTCTAAATTGCCTCTCATAAACATACTGGCGCTGTGCCCCAGAACTGTATTCCGTACCTACGGAGAGTATACAGTACCTATTCAAGCTACAGCGTGCTGGCGGAAGTAAGCACTTCCGTTCCGAGGGTGTCACTGATAAGAATTTTTACGAGATGATCCTTGTCCGGAAGAGGAAAGTGTATGCCCGGCCCCAGCAAGCGCTTCGAAGTTCGAAGCCTTATCGAATTCTCTTGGAAGAAGTCGAGCTCTTAATTTACACTTCAAACTTGGACTTTACGGGGTATTTGATATCGCTTCGTTGAAAAAAAGGGCCGACAAAGCTTAATCGACTAAACGGGAGGATCAATATGGTGCAGCTAGGCTTCTTTCGGAAATAGAGTATAAATCGGTTTTCTTTTTTTTTGTTGGCAAGACTTTCAGCTTTTTTATTTTTAAGAACTCGATCCTTTGGGCAAATGAACGGGGCATCTTACAACCAGGGAAGAAGCTTGCTGTATACTTATGACAGTCTTTCGGACCCTCTCGACTAGACCTGTGCGCTTCGAATCCTGCAAGATTTGCCTGAAAAGCTTGCTACAACGTATTTGACCTCGACTTCTCCAGTCCAATCCGTTCCAAAGGCGTCGACATCTGCAGTTGGGATAAGGGCGTGTCTTTCGCTCCTGGTTTGCAATCCTCTGTTAATATTGCGAAAGCTTGGTCGCCCGTCAATATTGGGCTTGGAGACCACCCGAAAACCTCAGTCTGCATTCCGCTCACTCATCACCCAGTCGCAAGTGTGAAAATGGCTCAATCGACTGCCCCCGAAGATGCCGTTGGCGTTGACTCGTCTCTATCACCCACGACTTCCAATAAATCGAATTCAGAGGCCTCAAAAGCTAGCAAGATGTTGACTAACTTCACGCGGTCCAGACCCCCGGTGGGAATGTTCCACGCCGTTGGATCAGTGGCATCAAATATCCCAACCCTTCAGGATATCCAGAAAGGGAACTTCGAATCCGACGGCTGGTCCGGCCCCGGACAAAGAAGAAACAGCAATGCCCACCGCGACTCAGACCACCACGTCCTCCGCTTCCACCGTCACAAAACCTTCCGGGACCTCCCACCCATCACCGCAGAACCCCCCGTGGTCCTCCCGGAGAAGAAAGTCCCAGAGAAGAAAGAGTCCGAGGGTGTTGGCGTCGAAAGCATCTCGACTCCAACGTCCGAAGGAAAAACCATCACTGTACCTCACGACCCCTCCATCCCCTACGCAAATGGCTACCAATTCCCGCCCAAACACACCAAGCGGCAAGCAGCCCGCATCGCCCTCATCGGCTTCGGGCGCTTTGTCATCACCCCCATGGGATTCCTGCTCACGATCTACGCCCTCAACATCGTCGCTTGGGGCGCCATGCTCTTCCTCATCATCATCCACGCGACCCCGGCCATGGCGCACCCGAGCTGGGACTCGTGGGACAGCGGCGCCAAGACCTGGACCGAGATCAACTCGCAGATTCTGAATGCTCTGTTCTGCGTTACGAGCATAGGCCTGATCCCATGGCGGTTTAGGGACCTGTGGTTCTTGCTCATGTGGCGGTGTCGGGGGGATGAGGGAGCCTTGAGGAGGTTGGCCGGTATCCACAGGGACTGGTTTAGGTTGCAAGGAAGCCAGAAAGTGCCGGTTGAATGGGAGCCGAAGACGGATGCTCCTCCCGACGGTATACCTGAGTCTGCGCTATGTCTCCCTGTTGCCCTCTCCCCGGACCCACCGCTTACGGGCGAGCGCGCGCCGCCGACGGCCAAATACTGGCTACTGGATCTCGTGATCTGGGCTTTTGTGTGGAATACGCTCTTTCAGATAGTGCTGAATGGCCTGATGTGGGGGATGAGTAAGTATAACCGCCCGGGTTGGGCCGTAGGCTTGTTTATGAGCCTGGCCTGTATTGTTTCTGGTGCAGGCGGTTGGGTCATCTTTCAAGAAGGGAACAAAGTGAAGAAGGTCGAGGGCGTACCGGTTAGTGAGGAGGATCAGAAGTTACTCAGGGAGATGAGGGAGAAGGAAAAGGGAGAGGCCTCTGTTTAAACGCTCGATGATGTGGCGTTGGGCAAGGAAATCGAGATTCGGAAATCTGAGCGACAATCAGCAGGCGGTGACTACGTGAGGCTTTGGTACTGTTTTGGTACTGTATCGAAGTATCACAAGAGCCGAACTGCGCGTGGAGGAATGGAAGTACAATCCAAACAGCGGGCATTGTGATTGTGAGCTTCCACGAGCATGGCTCGTGAGGAAGGCAAAATATCAACCACAGCTCCTCTCGCTTCATGTTTTCTTCCTCGATTCGCATAATCTTTTTCTTTATTGCCGAGCTGGAAGCGTCTGTAACATTCAGAATCTGCAGTCTTTATCTGACTTTTGTTCCAATCATCGGTGTAGCTCACGAAAATGCTTCGCAAGTTTCATATTGTCTGAGCCATCATTGAGGAGTGATTCACGCCTTCAGGGTGGATGGCTAACCTCGCTGGTATGAATCCCATAGCGTCACTCATCCACGTACTTCAAATCATGTCTTGTCCTCTCAATTTGTAGAAAAGCCGAGCTTGACTTCAAACCCAGCACGTCTTCTCCATCCTTTATCATTATCATTACTATTTCACTTCCACATTTGGATCTGCGGCTAGAATTACATTACTGCGCCAGGAAGTCGAGAGCCATGTTAGATCATCCGATGCATATCCCAGACGCTGAGCTGGAGGCACAAATTAGCAGCTCATGTACTCAGGACCAGGCAGATCAGAGAGAAAGAGAAGAAGCGGTTAGCCCTGCCACCACTGCTGTTCATATTCCTCAGCGAACATACCACCATCCTACCGTCGCCTCCGAGACTGAATCCGCTTCAGTAGAAACCCGAGCAGGATCTACTCGCCATTCATCTCCGCGTCCTTACTCCGCACCAGGCATCTCGAGAATCCAGTCGGCATCACCCAGTGGACATTCTCGATCACCCCCGCGTGGAAGAAGTCGCGTTCGCGACTCAAGCCCTGGGCCTTCTTTGCCACTTCGCTCCTCAGTTGCCAGTATTATCCGGGGTGCTTGCATTTGTGGACACTGTCGGGCGGCTATACATTCTCGCTCTACCAGTCCCTTTCGGGATCACAGTGTTTTAAGTGACTGTACCGGCCCCCGTCGAAGCATGCTCGGGAATGCAGTCGAGAATGTCCCAGATGGTTTTGGAAACTTCTATCAGGACCGAAGCCAAAATATCTCGTACGGTTATTGTTGGTACACAGGTGTTTGATAGTACTATCAGCTTGGGTATTGGTTGTGTTGTTCATGTCTGGTATTGCTATACTGGTAGTGGCGGTCCCTTAAGGGGACCGCGGGCGCACGTGCCACCCTCACGTGCGAAGTCCACCACTACCCTCATCGTCCCTTCCATTCCTGTCCGCTGCATGGCTGGTATACTCCGACACTGGCAGTTCTTTACTTGTTGTAAGGAACGCTCTAATTATACTTATACAAATTCCTGCGTCCCGAAGTTCTACCGAACTTCTGACTTCCTTTGCTACTCCCGATCCACCTATCCCTTAATACGCACTTCTAGCGTGTTGCAGTCGATGAAGCTTTTTAAAGCTTTGTTCGGATTTGCTTTAGTCATATGATCAGCTGGGTTGCTTTTCCCGTCAATCTAGCGTATTTCGGCGATCTCCTTGCGCTCGTAAGATTGTCGTAAGGCTATTACATCGATCATGAGCCTCTTCTCTTTGGTTGTGCCGAGCTTTACTAAACACTCGTAGAGTGAGTAGGAGTCGGTAGCTACTACTATTAGTATCTTTGGTAACGAGAGCTGTTCGGTGATCTGATCTAAAGTGGTATTTAAGGCAATTGCAATGTCTATTCTAGCCACCATTCCGAGGATTTCTGAGGCTAAAACACTCTTGGTAACTCTCTTACTTTTGGTAGAGCTGTAATGCACCACGTTGCTTGTGACGTTGAAGGTCTCTTCGGTCGTACGTGTTTCGTTTCTCAAGATAATCACGTACCCAAGTTGGCTGGATAGATCCTTGTTGTTTGCAAAAGAGCTATCCACGAATACAAAAAGCTTGGCCAAGCGAAGGTCGATAGGAACGTATTTTAGCCTTTTGCCTTGGTTGCTGATCATCTATTAGAGGCACTTATTAAGGGCTGCCACCTCGTCTTTGCTAGGGTCTTTGTGCTGGGCTGCTATTAAAAGAGCAAATAAAGCTTTAGGTTGGCAAGTAGAAGCAATATATGCTCCGCGTGCGCGCTGCTCGAGGTACTCTTGCTTGTAGTTTAGTTTATCGGAGACGAGAGCGAGCTTTTGGCCTTGCTGTTTTTGTGTGAAGAGCATAGTATCGTCTTTCTGTAGCTTTAAAATACAGCCATTGAACCTAATGTCGGTGGTATAGGTCAGCTTAGTCTCATCCTTGGCCTTTAAGCCGGCCTTTTTGAGTTCTGACCTCTCCTTGGCTGCAAATCGATCGTCGGCGAGGTAATAGGTGTCGTCTACTTGCATCCTTACGAGCCTAAACATGCTTTTCTTAGTACAAATCAAGAGGCAAGGGTCGTAGGTCGAGGTGATTGTGGACAGCTTCTCTTTGTGGTGGGTGTAGTATGTTGACCACCAAAAGGTACTTGCCTTAGGAATCCTATATAGTGCTCTGCGGATCCTCATGATTGTTCTTTCGGAGTAAAACTTTACTATTTCTTTCGGTAGGCGTGCTAGAATGAGCTTATTTAGTAAGTGATCGCTTTGAGTATAAGCTTGCGTAATATCACGAAGGTAGAGGGAAATTCCTAGCAGTGAGAGTGCTGGCGCTAGTATAGTAATGAGGCGTTGGCTCGAGCGTTGTATAGCGGGGGATTGAGTAAGAATCACTTCTTTTCTTTCGTCGGCGAAGGCTTGTATAACGAGTCGTGACTTTTCGAATGGGGTTGCTGTTTTCTTGCCTTTGAGCTCGTTGACAAGACGAGAGCTAAAAATACGCTCTCTTGCGTGCTCCACAGGGTCGTATAAGATGAATTCAAATACGCTTTGTGCAATCAAGCCTTCGATCTCACGCTGCTGTGAGTCTTCGAAAATCTCGCTAGGGGTGGTGATTACACTTTCGGCTCGTAGCTTCGTAGCTAGCTCTCGGTCTGTTTGCTTCTTCCGGGTTAGGAAGGTATCAACATTACTTGATATGGTAAGGAATTGCGCTAGCTCTTTAGCTTTCGTGCAATAACGCTCTGGAGGTCGTCTGTTTCTGCTACTTCGACGTGGCGCCTCTTCCACTGGTGGTCTTTCCTCTTCGGGACGCTCGTCGTCTTCCTAGGCAGTATTTTCTTGGTAATATGGCTTGACTACCGTAGCTTTGAATTGGACTGCTTTGTTATTGACTTGGACCGTGCACGTGTAGCCTTCTATCGCAATAAGGGTATAAGGGCTAGTCTATTGCGCGCGCTGGTCCCTTTTCTTTTCTTTCCATACTCTTACTTGGCTTTGCAAAGGGAGAGCTAGCGTCTTAATCGTAGAAGGTCCGTTGCGCATATTCAAGGCGTCTGCTACTTGTCTTACAGCTTGCAATCTTCTCACTTCCGACATAGCCTTTTTGATGGCTTCTGCTTTAGTAGTAGTAGAAGGGGCTGGTGGATCCAAGTGAGTCATGCGAGGGTAAGCACCAAATACAAGGAGAGTAGGTACCAAGCCTGCTAGCCCGGCGGTATCGTTGACGGCTTTGATTGCTATCTGCAAGATCTGTTCTTTAGTCACTTTTAAGTCCTGCATCTCCTCCGAGATGATCTCGTAAGCTCGTCGTAGAGGTTAGTGGTATCTTTCTACCTTTCTTACGCTATTGTAGGCTTCCGTAGGCATTTTACTGATGTCGATAGACATCATCTTGGCCAGACCGCGGAACTCAGCTGCTGCAAAGTTCGTTCTTGGGTCGTGAATAATCAGGTCGAGAGGACCGAAGTAGCTGTTAATCTAGCATTCTTTGAGCGCGTTCCAAGTAGTAATAGCCGACATGTCCTTTAAGAAGCGCCCAGCTTGGAAGGTGGTAGCTGAGTCGACGACGTGTAGTACTAGTCTGCCGTCTAAGTGCATCACGTCCACAATGATAAAGTAATTGAACTTTAGGTCATCTTTCAAAGTGAACTTGTATCGGCCCGAGGCTGCACTATGCATCTGACATTGATGGCAGAACCTCTCGATCTTCTTTAAGGTGTCAAGATCGACATCATCGTGACCGCTAAGGTCAAGAACCTTTTGCAAGCGTAGAACAGATGGGTGGCCGAATCTACGGTGTAACTGGCGTAGTTCTCGTTCCGTAAGGTGCGCGTTCGCAAAAGCGTCTTCAGGTTGTAGCATGAGGAATGGGTGGCCTTATTTACGAATTACTGGAATACGCTTGTTGCCTTGGACGAGCATATTGTCAAGATTGTTGTAATAGACCTAGAGTCGGTCCATATCCTCGAGTGAGATGAGGAAAGGGGTCCCTATATTGACAATGTAGAATTCGATGAGTCTAAGGGGTGTATCTACTATTACGGAGCTTATAACACGTGTAGTGTTGCCTCCGAACTTAATAGTATTCTTGTCGGCCGTTCCTCGGTTGATTCGAAGAGGGAGGAGCTTGCTCAAAGCCTTAACTTGTTGCTCTTTTGCAGTGGAGAGGTTGGCTGCTTTAGAATCGAGGATAAACCTTTGGAATTTATAAGCCGAGTATCGGTCGAGTAAAAAATGCTCTAAGGGAACGATATTCGGGGGTGGCTTGAATGGGTCGATAGAGGTAAAAGTGTGATAGGTTGCGTTCTTAAGCAACGCTACTATCAAGTGTTGGCCGTCAATAGTTCTTAATTCAGTAGAGAATTGGGTTGCGGCCGCTGATTGTTAATCAAGAGTGATCTGGAGTTGCTGGTCGAAGCCTTGTACTCCTTTAACTTGTACGAGGTAGTGAGTATACTCTTCAGGTCCCACGTCCTCCGTATAGTATTGAGCTTGGCGTCTTTAGTTATCGTAAGATTTCTTACGCTCTTCGCTACTATATTGTGTAGAGAAGTGATTTAGCTCGCCGCAAACAAAACAGCGTTTGTCAGCGCGGTCAGCACGGGTTGTTGCGCTTCCTCTTCCTCTGTTACTACCCCCGTAGTTGCCTCGATTTCCTTAGCCGCGACTGCTGGTCCGATCATTTCCTCCTCTGGTATAGCTTTTAAAGCCTTTATTGCTACTACCGTTGTAGCCACGGCCTCTATTGCCTCCACTGCCTTTGTACTGGCGGTCCACGTAGTAGACCTCGTCTTCGTATTGGTCTCTTGACTCGGTAGCATCGATAAGGTAAGCGGTGGAAGGTCTGGTCGTCGTAATGGTAGCAATCGATGATCGTAGCTAGGAAACAAGGGCGGTAGTAGTAGGTGCGGGATTATACTGAGCAAACGCACATTTAAGGACGCTTTGTACGGCGCTCAAAATCACGTCTCTTAAAGCCTTATCGGAGTGATATTCGAGGGTCAAATTGCGCTGAATGAGAAAGAGCTTCTTGACTATCAGCGTAAGGCACTCCGCCTTATTTTTATCGGCGTTCTCTTTAAGACTCATTACTGATTGAAGTGTGAGTGATCTCTATTCCGACAAGTACTTTTGGGCAGACTCCGGGACTTTAAACTTGGACTTTATGAATGCAGTCATCATCTAGAACTCTATGTCTTTGCCGTAGATATCAGTCATATAGTACTAGTGTGCCTCGTCCTTAAGCATCAAAGAGAAAGCTATTGCGTAGCCCACCTTATCGCCTTGAAAGATGCTTAAGCGTGTGCAGTTTTCATAGAAAATCTTGAGCTTGTCGGTAAAGACTTCGTATTCAGCGCCCTTATATTTCTTTTCTGTGTCCTGGTATACCTTCGAAAAGTCACCAATCTGTTTGACGTAGTCGCTAGTTCCTGCTCGAGGTGGTTTAGGTAATCTGACGTAAAGGGGGACGGTTGTGTCAAGTGGTAAGAGGATTTAGTATTTAGCATTGATCTTTTCAGCAAGGGTTGGTACCGAAGTCGGGAAAAGACGTGTGGTTAGCAGGGCAGCGGGGCCTCGAGTGTTAGAAGGGTCACTTAATGGTGTGCGGTTGGTACTTGTAGCTGGCCCCTTTTGCTCGATTGTAGACTTAGTTGTAAGGTCGATTGCAGGTTCAGTTGTAGGCTCGATTGCAGGTGTAACAGCAGGTGCAGGTGCCGCCGGTGTAACAGTAGGTGCCGTTGTTGCTTTATCCTTGGCGTGCTGCTTCTGCTCAAGTGCTATTTTCTTAGCCTCCTTGACCTCTTGTTCCGCGATGATCTTGTTCTTAGCATCCTTATAGACAGAAGTCCATGGCTCTAGCTCGTCTTCTTGGCTTAAGGCGTGGAAGATTGATGCTTAAGAGATACTTTTAGCTGGTCTGACCTACACTCTACTCATCACGAGGTGTTCTCGGAGCTAGCGGCAGATCGATCGGTGAGCGTGTCTCTATATCTTAGTCGTCTATCCATTAAAATCTTGTAGGAAGATCTCGAAAAGGGACTCTCTTTGCTTGCCATTGTACGTGTCTCTGTAGCTTTCCAAACACATGGCGATGTAGCTATTGATTGTAGGGGGGTCTATAACTTGGGCGGGGTCAGTAGGGTCAAAGTCATATCCCCAAGTGAGGGGGTTGATCTGGCACTCTAGTCCTGGTGGTACAGGTCTAGCTGATACGTTCGGTGTGGCCGAATGGACGGACATATTGGCAGCGAATTCGTGTGTGAGGGAGGGAATTCGTAGTAGTTGAAGGTGAGAGGGTGTAGTAGATCTGCTGGCCTGTCAGCCAAGAAAACAGTTCTCTGAAAAAGGTAAGAATCGTGCTCGCAAGGAGTTGTCCGCTTCTTAGATCTTTCGCGCGTGATGGACGCAATCGATTCCCGTAAAAGGGTTGTTCGATTCTCGATTCCTGGCCGAAAACGGTGGTAGGTATCGTTAGCACAAGATGAAAGGCGAAGTTAGTAAAAACTCTCCAGACTTAATCTTATCTCTTCTAGACCTTGCGAATCTGTGGTTTATTCAACCACTGATCAGTGTTGGTACATAGGTGTTTGATAGTACTATCAGCTTGGGTATTGGTTGTGTTGTTTATGTCTGGTATTGCTATACTGGTAGTGGCGGTCCCTTAAGGGGACCGCGGGCGCACGTGCCACCCTCACGTGCGAAGTCCACCACTACCCTTATCGTCCCTTCCATTCCTGTCCGCTGCATGGCTGGTATACTCCGACAGTTATCATAGCCGGGCTCTTGTCTGGACGGGCCTCTCTTCATGCTACCCTGTGCCCGCATATCCTCCTTCCAATCATCACTTTGAGATACCGTCTTGTTCCACCTCTCAGTCTTCAAGCTCCTACAGAACCATTGCTTGGGGTCAAGAAGAGCTTGAGAGAGAGCTCGAGACATCCGTCTTGGACGCTTGTCGCTCCGGCAGGGGTTGGGATGCACTTTGTCCCGAGTTTAGGCGTATCCACCAGTGGGACGTCGGAGAAGTCCACGCTCACTGCACGCAAAATGCAGACTGTCCGTTCAAAAAGAGCTACATCGAAGCCGTGTCCCAGATCACAGCCGACGGGAAACTCATCCGATTCATTCGTCCTGCCGTATACCCTGCCATCTCTCAAGCCCATCTCCTCGGCCGCCACGAGCAGTGCACATGTCCCATTACCCGCACCGCTCCAGGAATGCCCCCAAGCCGCCCGGACCACGAGGAGATATTCGAAAAGCTCCCATTCGACACTCCGAGAGTGAAGAGGCTACACGACGACAGGTACCTCCTGCTCGACCACCCCCTGCGCGTCTGGACCGTCCTGCAGTCTCCCAGAGCCACGTACGACGATGCCCAACTAGGCGATCTGAGTCTACCGTCCGTCATCGCATCAGGTACCCTAACTCCCTTCCCAGCCGGCACCTCGATGCCCCTCGCGGGCATCACCTGTCCCTGCTACGACGAGGTGCATGGCTCCGGCGCCGCGCTCAAAGCCCAAGCCGAGCTTGCTTCCTGTCTTGTTGCTGCTGCTGCTACCTCTCACCCCTCCGCAATTCTTGATACTCCCAACAACAACAACACAGCCGAAGCATCCACACACCCCTTCGCCAAAGCCCGCGCGGCGATCGCGAGGCGGTACCGCGCCGCATTCCCGTGGCTGGACCCAGTCGCTCTCGCCGTAAAGGTCACGCAGGACTGCTATAACCTCGCGGACGAATACGAGGATGTCCTGCGGGGGAGCATCTCGGATGACGAGATCATTGCGTTCTACGCCTCTGAGGCGTTTGCAGCCGACGGATGCCACGAAGATGTCGAGCGCGAGGAGAACGAGCGCCAGAGGCATGCAGACCCAGGCGGGGGAGGAGGAGAACACGACCGCGATGTTTTCTGTGCCGGCGCTGTCGTCGCCCTGGAGCACAAGTACGCGCATGTATACCCGTGGATGTCGCCCCGGTTCGTCAGCGATACGGCGGCCAGTGATGCGCGGTGGTTGCAGAGTCAGGCGCTGGCTAGGGGGCCGGAGAAGCGGCTGCTGGCTGACGGGCAGATTATCGGCTTCTTTGGGGCTGAGAAGTGGGAGTGATGGAGTTCTTAGAATCTCATGTTTGGGGGGTGTACTTAGTCGGTAGGCTATTTTAACAAGCGATGACATTGACATTTTCCGCTTTTCCCAAGCGTTGCGAAGCGTTGGTTTATTTAATATCGCACCTGTGAATTTATCATAGAAACAGAGGAGTATGTTAACATCTCTTCCATCCTGCTGTCGTCCGCCTAACTCGTGATTCTTTCTAAGTACTGATCTAGGAGATCCAATAAAGTTTCTGAGGTTTCCCATTATCAGCGCGGGCAGAATCCAATGCTGCGTAAAGCATCCTACAACCAAACTGTTCATGTCAACACAGAAGATCGCTTAGTAGCGACCCCTGTTTACGAATAGCGCCTAACCATTTAAGCCGCCGCCGACTTATCAACTGTTTACTTCCAAGCTCTTCAAGCTAGAACAGCTTGACCGGCATCAGCTTACAAATTTTTCAACGGCCTGAAGATCCCATTACAAAGATGAAGACATCACTAATCCTAAGAAAAAAAAGATTCTTAGAAACCTAATTTCACCGGCATGCTGTTGTCCCCAATCCCCCCCCCCGTGCGTATTTCGCGTTCCATTAATCAAGACCTCACTAACCGGTCGAATAACGTAACTTTTCGCCAAATCCCGATCCTTAGAATATGCTACTAGATATTATCAGTAGTAGTTATTAGCGCTATAAGAAAGATACCGATTTCTTCCTTTCCTGGCTTTATGAACGAGCTACCTACCTCATGCGGTGACCGTCCTCATTGAGCTCCGACAGTCGAAGACATAGAAGACGAGGATGAGGATGAGGAACAGTGATCTGGCGGAAACTGCTCCGAGGAAGAGCTTGAAGACGGCAGATACCAAACTCGCACTGGTTACGTACAATCATAAACACCGACAAAATCCACACCGAGACACTTGCGAAGCAGTCAAACACTGCTAGGAAACATATCACGTCTATAGAGGAGTTTGTCACCTAAGCACGTGTCATCGCAGAATCCTTGAGCCCGAGCCCTGAAGCCTAGGTCCCGGTGCTTGCCCAGGTTCCTGTCACGCTCCCCCTCAGTCCCTTCGTATGCTTCGAAACACACGAAAAATTCCGAGGAAGATATCTATGAGATGGGGCTTTGGAGAGAGGCAGATCTTCAGTTTGTCGTCTATTGTTTTTACGAATATTTGCATAAGCTTGAAGAATTCCTGCGCGGCACTTGGGCTGAGGCTGGAAATGGAAGGATCATAAGGCAGATGAGGAGAATTTCCACAAAGCGGGTATCATGGATGAATGTCTGGCATCTTCCTTTGGGAGCAGAAGGTTTAAAAGGCAGATGAAGAGAGTGTCCGGCAACATCATTTGGTCATTCTGCTTCGGAGTGCTGGGCATCCAATGCTTATAGCGAATTCGTAATTTCTAATGCGCACTTTTTATACTATACGCGCATGCGACAGTAGCCTTCGCTACAGCACTATGAATTGCTTTCTGGGGCTTTCTTGTATGTAACTCCTTAGCTTAGCACGTTGCCGTACCCCATGGGAGGTCCCAGGGCGGCAGGCTTCGCCTGCTACCCGCCCGACGTAAATAAATACAACAACAACAACAACAACAACAACAACTTTTTATACTATAGCGAAATGAAAGAGGTCGGCAAAGCAATTGGACTGACTTGAAGTACCCACTTAAATTTACTTATTTGACCCAGATCTAGTTTGTTTCTTGCTCTTAATCAAGCTACTTGCTTGGGTTGCAAGCAGAGACGGGCGGTTGTCCAAGTCACGTGTAAACGAGCTTGCTTTTTGTACATTAAGTAAGTTGATTGACCACAAACAATGGCCAAGGTCACTTTGCTGCTGCTTTTCCCGCAGTTTGATGATGGGATATATGGTCTCCGGTGCAAAATAAGCGTTGCATCCCGGAGTCAGTGTCCCTGGAAGCCCTCGCTCCCCTCCCTTATATTTAGCGACGCGCCAAGCATCGTGTAAACAAAAAAACGTCCGCTGCGACAAGATATCGAAAATGTCACGGCCTCGACGGATCAACTGGTGGGAACCAAATTCAGGTTTGTAAATGCTCGTTGCCAGCCGGGCGTTTGCATCGTGGCGTCCCTCTGCTGACCGTTCGCTGGCTTGTGTGATAACGAGGGGGCTACTACACCCACCTCGTTGGAGGTCACTGGCTGGTGGCATTATTGCCAAGGTATACATAGCATAAGTATCATTGAACTAATTCATAATGTAGAGGACTGCAGCCGGTAGCCTTGTTTTTGTTCTGGGCGTGGGCGTCACCTATATCGATTGCTTACTCGGGCAGCCAACTTCCGCATTCGAATTGGGTCTCGAGGGCGCCTGACATATTTAATGCAATATAGGTCTCATCAGAAGCCCTCTGGTTGATCAGGGCCGAGCATATGGGTCGAGCACTGGAATTCGGTTCACTGCTTTGAGGTGAATGCAGAACCTGGAGCAAGTGGCCCCTTATAAGGACTCGAAGAGTGCGAAGGCTGTAGAGCTTTCACAGTCCTACGATTGCTCTGAATACGTTGATTTTGTAGCATATCAGTGATAGAAGGAGCGCGTGCTGTACCACACTTGAAATTTTCCGCCTCACAGCTCAAAGTCCGCTCGCCGAGCTCATCCTTCACTTGCCATCTCCTGGTAGCCTTACAATAACAGTCTACCTATTATTTTCCAGAGCAGAGTTCTTTCTATGTTACCTGCACTAGAAAAACCAGCATCTTCCGAGTATTGAGTAAATGTCTCGTTGGCGCCTTCTTCAGCACAACCTCCAATCCCGAAAACACGTTCCCTCGACGCGTCGCTCGGCAACCAATCTTCAACCTTCAACCTTCAACCTTCAACCTTCAAATTTCAAACTACAAAATTTTAACTCGCAACAGCCTTTGCTTTTGGGATTCAGGAATATTGTACAAGATACATCTAACCCTACGATAAGATGTTCGAGCACATCAGAAACATCAAGGCCGATATCCAGGGCAGCCTTCGGGCGCGACGCCAGCCTGCCCGCGCACAATCCGCTCTCCCAACCCTGCGCGACGACAACTACGACGAGATGTTAGCAAATGCAGAAGCGCAAGAAGCACAAGACAAGCTGGATGCAACGATGGGCGTGTTTGCCCGATTCCGCCGCACCACGTCCTTGAAAGAGATCACCATCCCACCGATCAGTCGCACCAAGCCGCTGACCTTCACAAACCTCTTTGGTGCTTTGAAGAAGGACCCTGGGATCAGTTGCCTAGCTGTCGATGAAAGTAAGAAAGACAACAACAAAATGATCTATCTTTTTCATATTTGTAAAGAAGAAGAAGGAGAAACGTGAAAAACAGAGCTTTCCTGCTGACTTTTTTCGACTCGCGCAGACACCAGCAGCGAGTGCCAAGGCCCAGTGATCCGACCCTCTGGCGAGATCATCAAGCGCAAGCCCGTCACGCCTCCCCTGTCCGCGTTCAAGGTCTGCGACGTTCCCAAGTTCGACGTCCAGGCTCCACGGCGGAACCCGGATTCGGTGCACCTGGCCCGGTCCGTCCTGAAGCACCGCTACACCACCAAGTTCGAGATGGAAGGCTTCGAGCCGGCCAAGGGGCGCCTGCGCAGCGATTACTACTTTATGTGGGCTTCGGATGAGGAGTTGGAGCGCAAGGTCATGGAGGATATCATCTGGGTGCGGGAGCGGTACGCGCAAGCTGGGCGGGAGGAGCCGGATGACAATGCCGTCATTGCGTGGTACATGGAAGATAGTGATTTTTGACTAGCCGGACAGATATGGGCTATCAGGACGTTGCATGCTATAGATATGGTCTTTTACGAATGGTCTTGAGGGGGGTGTATGGGTTCTTCGTCACGCAGCTGGGAAAGCCTCTCTGGCGGAGGTTGATTCTTTGTCTCTCTGACTGGCTCTGCTTGACATTGAGGATAGGATAGATATCACGTTTGTTTGTGTATATGAACCTTGATTGACCTAGGGAAGCTTTGGGATGCTTTTCCAGGAGAGCACTTAAGCACCGTAAGATTACGCCTCCGCTTGCAACATCCTTAGGAGCTGGAAAATGGAAGGTCAAAATTTATAATTCCCAATAATTCTAAATATCTTCCTTCTTTCCAGGTTTGTATGGCCTCTACTCCTGTCTTGATGATTTTTGTTCGGCTTGAAAAGCGAGTCAGATAGCTCTGCCCTGTAAAGCAGTTTCCCAATGGCCTTGAAAACCCGTTATCAGAGGTGTCTCTCCTTGGCTATCATTCTCTTGAAAGCAAAGGCGAGCTCCTGATCGAACTAGTCAGCCACGTCGGCGTTAGAATCTCACGTGGCTAGCCCTAGTATAAAGACCGAACTACTCTTCGACCAGAATGCGAACTTCTCAACCTCACCCACCTATAGTCTAAGCATAGCGCGCACCCTCAAGGCGTGATCTTCTCGAACGATCCTTAGACCTCAATTTAATACAAAGTAAGATTTGACCGGAGTCGTGATTGCATTCCGTTTTATTAACTTTTGATAGGCCCGATCGCGCCCTATCGAAAACATCACCTGCTTTAGTTTCGACACGTCGGCCACCCATTTCGATGATCTCGAACCCGTACCTGCCTTTCTCGAAAAGCATCCATCAGAACAACATCCATCACCGATTTCACGCTATTTCCACTACAAAACAAAGCCAAGATGGGTAACTGCATTAGCGTCCTAGCTCGGCGTAGGGCGAAGGGCACCAAGCAGCATAAGCAGGCTAAGGTCAGCTTGGAGGACCTCCCAGCTCAAAAAGAAGGACCATACATGACAGCCAGCAACCAGGTCCGTGACGCCAACTTGGAGCAGGACGACTTAGATGAGATCCATGAAGCAGAGGAGTTTGAGAGTTTGAGAACCAAGCCCAAGACTGAGGCGTCAAGGCTGACTAGAGAGGGAATGGAAGACATCGCAGCCCGGAGCTACCTTCAGCCCAGGGTGGCACATGTGCGCTTGCACGAAAGCATGCACCGCCCCACCCCCGGCTCGACTCTGGAATCGCTCGTTAGCTGGGTCTGTGAGAGTGGTGGAGACATGCCCGAGAGTCCCTCTGCGCCCGAGATCGTCCCAATCAAAGGGGATGACGAGTTGCCGAGACCTCCTAGTAAGTCCAGTTTGCCCAGCCAGATATCCGTTCTGATGTTATGCTCGTGTGACTTTGCGGAAAGCTGACCTGCCGTAAAGTCGACCCGTCTCATGTTAAGAACTCAGCTGTCCCAGGCTGGGTTCTTTACGACAGTTCTCGCCCAAACGGCCCTTACTACTATAAAGGTCCCCCAAGACTTGGCTTGGACAGAGAGACTAACAAACTAAACCGAACATGGATGGCAATGTACGGACCAGGTAGAGAATAATACTCCTAAGGAACTTGCTGGGTTTGTCTTTGAGAAGAGTTCACCTTGTTGATGATTTGGCATTGCAGGATAGTTTGGTCGCGGATCTGGGACTGCCGAATGTGATCTCCGGGGACGGGTGCTTTGTACTTGATGTAGCCTCGGACCAAGATGGCCAGGTTGATTGATTTATTGCATTGCGGACCTGAATATGGCAATATGAAAGGGAATGGCTCTGTTTGTAGCTCAATCCAATGCCAGAGGGTAAAGACGGTAAAGACTGACCAGTGCTGCTTTTGTGTGCTTCCTTTGGCGCATGGCAGGAGGCTACCTGCATATTTCCAGGAACCCAGTTTGTAAGATCTGAGAGGGAATCCTTTCTCCCGAAAAGCTCAAATAGTGATCTTCCCATGGGCTTCTGATGATCTAATCCCCTCTTTTCTTTTCCGTGCAGCTGCTACGCAGCCAATATCTCAAGATGGCGAAGGAAAAGTCCCAGAAACATGGTGCTCCTGTTCCTGAAAGCCGCGGTCAAAACACTGCGCTCCCTCATGCACACACTGCGGATTCAGAGACCATTCTCACATTGTCCATGTCAGAGATGGCTCTCAGCGATGCCACCTCGAAGCCTCCAAAGGCTCAAAATCCCAAGAAACCGCGCAGAGATATCGTAGATCAGTTCCGTCGATACTTCGGCAACGAGAGCGAAGTTGCCAACTGGGTACGCCTGTGCCGCGATGTTGGCATTCAAGAGGACTTGAAAAGCATTAGACAGTGCAGGTTGGTGGGTACCCTCGACTCCAGGATGCAGGAAGACGAGGATTGACAGACCTCAGGCACTGAAAAACGTTTGGGTCAATATCTTTGATCTGATCGACGCCGTCGACGCCGAGAAGACTCCGCCAAAGCTCTTCAAGAATGAGCGTGCGCTGAGCAAGTACACGATGAATACAGGGAAGATATATCCAAAGCGGAAGGCCAAGGAAGGAGGTCCAGTTAGAGGGTTATTGGCACACATCTTTTGTCCTAAATGAGCTTGTTGGCAGGAATAGGCATGTACTTAACAGGAAACAAGAGGGAGCGGGAACCATGATTGAATAGGTAAATCTGGGCCATAGAAAATGAAATTCTGATTGGACTGGATAGTGGATCCGTGGAAATTGATTGCGTGAGAATGTGACACTTGTAGCATGGCAGCCAGAGAACAATCCCACTCTCATGAGTATCATCTTCCAACCACCAAGTGCGAGTAGCTTAGCTGTCCGCATCTTACGCAGAGAAGCAGCCTCGCTGAACGTTATTCTCTTTCTCGGTTCGATGTGATGCGGAAGAGGATGGATTACCTTCGCTGGCCCAAACCAATCGTGATACCCAGCAACAACATTCAGCCACTCATCAGGCACACTCTCAAACATAGGCCCCAGGAACACATGATTCAAACGGCGTAGCTCTCTTATTCTTCTCGACATTCTCCTTGGTCATTCGTCATTCAACGCACCAATATTATCTTTCAAATACTACCCTGTACGTCCACCAACGTCGAACGTTTTTGGAGTAATATATGCAAGGGCGGAGGCGATCATCGTAGCTTGGTTCTTATTGGCTGCTGTTACGACAACTGCTTGGGCTTTGAGTATAATTTCGGAGTGTTTGCCATTTTTGTATCCCTAAGCTGGGTCGCATTATTCTGAACGGTGTTCCGGAGAGACGAGCCAAGGCCCCATAACTACTAGATAATCATCGGATTGTTATCTCGTTCGAACTCCCTTGTGGTAGCAGAGAAATCCTCTGATAAACTGCCCCAGACCAGAGTGACGTACCTATGTAATGATATACTTTGGAGACAATTCAAGCGGGTTATCAGAGGCGCCGATGTACAGGAACTTCCCGGGTAAGTCACTGTTGGTGGGATATGGCATAAATCACGGCATATCTAGAGCAATCAAGAACCCTCAGATGAATGGATGCAAAGTACAAGAAGTATCGCATGTAGCAAGTATAGAAGAAACCTTCGGTGGTTGTTTTGGTAGGGAACCGCGCATATTGAGAATCTGAGCGAGCATGGTGAGCTGAGTATACGCGCGAGATAACTGCACAATGATCAGAAGAGCAGTACGCACGGCACTCGAAGAGAATAGAGAGCTACTGGAGACTCCTAAGTTGCTGGAATGTATCAGAAAAGCCGGGCATGGAGGGAGGTGATATAAAAGCTTCCCTCCCTTTCCGAAAATTCTCCGCTGCTACCCTCGCCGTCGACTGACTCTACCCGGCCGGCGAAATTTCACTAACTCCTACTTAAGTCATAACACGTCCACAACCTCCATCAACAAGGCGCCAGCACGAATGTAAGTAGCTTCCACTTCTCATATTCGCAACAGCACCTAACAGAGTTTCAGGATCCGATTTTCCGGCGCCTGAATTTCAGGCGCCCGAATTTCCGGCACCCCAAATCGACAGCGGAAGTCGTCCCGAGACTACGTCGGATAAAAAGTAAACCCCATTTGGATCGGAGGTGTTTCTTCTCTCAGCTCTATGAGCTGAGAGTTTCTTTTGGTATTTTTGGCACTTTTTTTTTTCCTTTTTTTTTGTTTTTCTTTTTTTTTCTTTTTTTTTCTTTTTTTTCTTCAAATTACC